GTTATGTCGAGATAAACGTATTAGCTTATCCACTGAATTGCAAAAAAAAGGACAGGAATCGGGGAACGCACTTTGGTGGACAATCATTTTTCGCGACACGATTTTGCCAAGCAAGTTCTCGGCTAGACAGAAGAAAATTCGACGCATCGTAGCCGCCTGTTCTGTAGCCGTAAAGTTGAGCCAGCCGTCGACGTCTACGACGAACTGGAACCGGCCAAACGAGGGCAGCCCGGCAGGGGGGCTGCCGGTTAGGCCCGAGCCGTCCAGACTCGAGACGACAGAGGAAGAGCCGGAGGCGTCGGAGATAACGGAAGGAAACGAGAGAGGCGAAGGCGAAGAGAAAACGTCTGTCTGGCCAGACAAAGTCAGGTCAGAAAGAGGCTGACCGATCCTCACAAGATCGCTATCCCCCGTACCAATGAGAAGTTCTCTGAGCAGAGGTAAGAAGGAAAACAATAAAATCCGGGGTTTGAACTTAGAGAAGGGTTGTCCAGATTAGCGCATGGCCGATGCATATTAATCGAATACGCCATCAGCACCATTGTTGTCATTATCAAGTGTAATATTAGCGTCATTTGAATATCCAAATAAATCCATGGCTATGTCCATATTATAACAGAAAATGCTCATTCCGAGCCAACAAGACTTTGCATCAATTTATGGATATTTGTAATGAAACGAACTAAAGCAGACATCTCGCCAATTGCAGCCAAATGCTGTCAGTAAGCAAGTTTCTCAACCATCCTGTCGATTCCAAAAGAGGTTGAGGAATATCTATTTATAAAGCGTACTAGCATAATAATGGGCCGGCAGAAGATCAAGATATAAAAAGCATTTTGAAGGAGTACGAGGTAGGAAGCACCTCCCTTCTATATCCTTGAGTCTATTAATTAAGTATAAGTAGTTCTTGGCGTTGGTTCGACCTGGCAGGAGCGTCAAAGAGACTTTGTGAAACGTACCTAGTCCTGTGTCCTCTGTCATGGAATTCGTGATTTCCAGCATCGGACCATTGAATTGATACATTCCAAACACTTCGATGGCACCTCTCGATGACGATGCCGGCGAAGCGTTTGGGAATGTACCAAGCCAATGACCTGATTCTGGACATCACGAATACTATGACAGAGGACAGAGGACTAAATACGTTCCACAAGGTATCCCCAACAGCCGGAGCAAGTTGTGAAAACGAGATCGAGCCAGCACTATAAAGCAAAAGGAGACTGCAACCACACCATCTTGGTCTTCATATCTACGAAATAAGTAGGTTTTACCTAACTTCTTGCCAGTATTTCTGTCATTCATTATATTGCCTAGTCGGTCAAACTGGATGAACTCTCAAATTTTATCGAAGATATGAAAACCAAGATGGTGTGGCCTTTTGTGTGGTCGCAGTTTCCTTTCGTTGTATAGAAGTTGTTTGACCTTGTTT